ACCTCTCTCTCTCTCTCTCTCTCTCTCTCTCTCTCTGAGATTTTCAAGTGACCCCAAAACTACTATCGATTTCATAGCCCTTGCGTTTTCTTCCCCCACTGTCTACCTCTACGTTTGCATTTTCCGTTTTTGGTATAGCCACCGTAGGCAAGTAGGATTTCAACCTTGAAGCCATTAGTCTTAAGAGAGTGAATTCACCTTTTGTAACATATGAGAAACAATTAAGTTTTCTATTGTTTATTATCAATGTTACTAATATTATTATTCTTTGACAAGGATTGTGAATATTGTTATAAATTTTGTTTTTTGGGTAGATTAGTGGGGAATACAGGTCCCAACCCATTTGAGAAATAATTAGTGGTCTTCAAATGTATCAGTAGGAATGAAAACCTAAACCCGTAGCTGGGACGTAGGTGCTGATACCAACCACGACCTCAACTCCATCCCTACCACCAACAACCTCAACCTCAACCTCAACCTCAACCTCAACCTCAACCTCAACCTCATTCCCAAATTATTATTATTGTTTCTGTGAGAATTGTGGCTATTAGTCATATTCTTGGAAGAGGAGCTGTCATTTTTTTTTTTTATTTTTAAGTAATTCAATGAAAAAGATAGGTCCCTACCCATTTTGAAAGTGTTAATTGAAGGTGATACTGATAGGAATGGATACTGTGATGTGGTAACTAAGTGTGAAGATGCTACCACTACAACCCCATCATCTTTCCTGGAGCACCATTCTTCTTGTGGATGGTATTCTAAAACAACACACATGTGGGACCTGCATTGAATGTGGGACCCACAATGTCTGATTGAACCCTCTGTCGATGGAGGGTCCAAGTGTTCGAAGATAGACCTGCATGTCTACAGGTTTTTGTGCTCGATACATCTAGAAGGCACCCGCCAACATCGACACTTTAAAAACTTAAGCAGACGTTAAACTCTATCTCTGAAATCTCTTCGTAAAAGTATTTAGTCTCCCATTAGCCTTTATTTAAATGCCCTGTAATGTGCGTCATCAGAAGGGTAATTTTCATATTGTGTAATTTTGTTAATTTTGAGATCGGTGATTTTGAAACATATCCATATAAGAAACCGACAAACATATCAGTGTCTGTGTAAAACGGCCATTATGGAATACCACTTATCTTAATTTGCATAACCATTATTATCATCATAATAATCATTTGCACAAGCACTAACATTTTAGCTGGACTAGTATTTATTGAGAAATTGAGTGTATTTCTTATGTAATGCAGAGAAATCCTTCTTGCCAAGCAGAGATCCAGAGTGGTACTTTTTCGGACCTCGGGATCGGAAATACCCAAATGGTTTTAGAACGAACAGAGCAACACGAGCAGGATACTGGAAATCAACAGGGAAGGATCGAAGGGTTTGTATGCAGAGTCGGGCGATAGGGATGAAGAAGACATTAGTTTATTACAAGGGGAGAGCCCCACAAGGGGTTAGGACAGATTGGGTCATGCATGAGTACCGCCTCGACGACAAGGAGTGCGAGGACACCTCAGGAATTCAGGTGCATTTCCCCTTCAATCTCAACTGTATGCGTTTTATTTCAGCTGTGAACTGCATTTGTGCAGCGTATGTGTGAGAGAGAGAATTAGTGCATGGTAAACGGACATAGGACGTACTGCAGGCAATTTCAAAACCTCAATCACTCAAAGGAGAGCTTAATGGTGCATGAGATGTATCATGATTAGCATAATCAATAGGTGCATGTAATTCTGTATGTCAGAGAAAGAGTAGTTAGCGCACGGGCTTTATCATCGTTACTGATAATCAGGTAGATAGAGAGAGAGAGAGAAACTTAGTTGACAAGTTTTATCACCATTAGTGATAATTAAACTGCAAAAATGCATGTGTTAAGATATAGGAGAGTTCCCTCATCTTTTCGTTTCGTGTCATGTTGTATCGTATTAATCCATGACATTGTTGCGGATGTGAAATCAGATGGCGACAAATTGTTTCAACACAATTTAAGAATTTTAATGACTTTAAGTATTGTTAAGAACACATTTTAATCATCTGATTTCACATCCAACAATCAAAAATTAATTGTGGCATGTCGCTTAGGTGCTTTCTTTGATATTATCCATACTCCACCAATGGGAGAGGTCCCAAACCAATGAGTGTGAGGGCTGAATCTTAACCCGTGATACACAAGCTTTGCACGTGCCTTTTGCATTTCGTGCATGGAAAGCATCGGCGACTCTTTTTTTCCCTTGTTCTTTATTTTTATATTTTTATATCCCTTTTCTGAAAACGATTCTTTTCTTGAACCTACGTTATTGTCTTTAGCTCTTTCAGCAACACTTAATTTTTTTCTTACAATTTTAAAAATGAAACATTCACATCTAAGATAGCTTCACATGTGTACAAGTCGCGTTTGCACGTGCTCCCTTCAGGGGTACTTTTGTCATTTTAACGGTGAATTGACATATTAGTTCTTCCTCTATGATGTAAGCTGGATACACGTGTCTATAGTTCTTCGCATGTGGAGGAGTGTCCAACATAACAAAGGCATGGACGCTTTTACTTACCGGACGCGATTAGCATGCGGCCAAGCCCACACATGTAGAAATGCGTAACAAGTATATTTTTAAAATATAATTTGATCTTAACTTTCGTAGAATATATAATATTTAACATAGAGATCATGAATATGAAAAAAAAAAGTTTGAAAATCATAAATAATAATTATATGAATAACATATTTGGATTGTTAGTTACAATTTTTATTAAATGGATCACTTATTTGCATTTATCTTTAATAGGGTTGTTTTATACACTTCATATTATAGAAATGCGGTCCAGCCCCCATGAAACAATTGTTTCTAATTTTAAAACTGGTTTCCTTTAAAATATCAATAAGAGAGCCGACATTTGATATTGAAAATTGTGCCCTTTTTTAGTTACAAGCAGCTGGCTCAAGGTACTTAGGGAATGATTAGCAAATCATCAAAGGTTATAATCCCAAGCTAATTACCTAAGAGAAAACAATAGTACCAGATGCGTAATACGCAAAACTTTTAAAGGAAATGGCCTTATTTGGATGAAATAGCTGATGTATTTAGAGCAAGATTAAGAAAGTCATTTAACTGGTACACCCAATGCGTGTGTGTGTGAGAGAGAGAGAGATATTTTAACTAATAATCATGTATCTCATGGCTCTTATATGACAATTAAGAGAGAGAAAGAGAGACAGAGATTTTAACAAACTAATAATTGTGATTTCATGGCTCTTATGGGACACATGAGAGAGATTAGATTTGAACAAACTAAATATTGTGTACATAATGGCTCTTATAGGACACGTATGCCCTATGCCGGGTTTTCAAGAAGAATGTAGCATGCCCAGATACAGAAGACCAAGGCCAATTCACGATGCCCTTGCCAGAAAGTCTACAAATATCTGCCTCAGAGTACGACACCGTGTCGCCCGAGATGTTGCATGGGTCATCATCATCAACATGCATGGACGTGGATGACAAGGATGACGCATGGATGCAGTTCCTCATGGAAGATGCATGGTGCTCCACACGTGCCAATGATGTGGAGTCATCTTCATGCATGGCCCTCACTAACTGAGAGGTTTTTTCTATTAATTTTTTGTTTTTGTCGAAAACAATAGAGCATAAATAAATGGCTTTTTACACATTTGGAAATTGGGTGAAGAGAAAAACTTGAAAATGTCTTTGGGGGTGGGGAGAAGGGGAAGTGTGATTATTTAATGCATATAATTTGGATCATTTGAGTTTGGGTCCTATTTTGTGTAGTTGGGTGTAATTTGGTCGACTTAGATTGTATAAAACCCACTTTCTTTGATGTGTCAATGATTTTTGGGTTTCATCTGGGTGTATTTGCTTGAGAGCCTCAAATTTAAAGATAAATAAAGGAGTTCTTACATTTAGTGTTTGGGTGGAAAACTATGTAATATAGCCATGATTATTTTGATGGAAAATACCTCACATCTTGCCCGGACGTAGAACCTATATGCAATTATGCATCATAAAATACGCATCATAAAGTATACAGAGTGACCATTTACTTTTAGGAATTGCCCGTCAGATTCTGTATCGAGTGGCCGTGAGTTTGTTTATACTAGACTCAAATATTAAGGGAAAACTTTTTAAACTTCATGACACATCCCAAGTCATCAATTTTAACATCTAATAGTTCAGAGTAATTTCGACCTCCTTGTCATAAAGATAAGTAGTCTCAGAGTATACAATCCCATAAAATATTTTAATTCTTTGTAAAATACTATCAGTCAATAGCGTTCTTTTTTTTTATTATTTAAAAAAAGAAGACTTCAGCTCTGACTAGGGCACTCTTGTGTGAGTCTGCTAGCTGATTTCTGGTGGATAGGCCTAAATAGTGAAAAGTTCGAGATAATGAAGCAAAAAAGAAGAAAATATCACCTGAGACCTGAGCAATGACTCGAGAATTACTTGAGTACCTACAGTTCAAGAACTGTGTGGTTCTAGACAACTCAAGTGATTCCTCAATTCAAGACCATCCGGAATGATGGACCCCCTGGTCTGAGCTCACTCGGGTGATTCTGAATCAGCTTGCAGATTTGTTCACCGCTGCTCTTATTATTATACCCGGAAAGCATTAAGCATCGAAACTACAATTATTGTAATAATTTTGCACCCATCGTCCACCCAAAAAGAACCATAGCTTAAGAACATATGTTGCTTAGGTTTGTAAATTGTGATGGATGACTTAGGTAGGTAATGCATCGACTGATTGCACAATCACAAAAACATCTACCCCTAAAATCATGCCATTTCTTTCTTCACAAACTGATGCATCAGGCCATGGCTCTCTCTCACTCACACACACAACGCACACATTTGCATAAAGAAGAGAGAAAGAAAGAGAACGCCTTGTAAAATACAGGAAAAGCTTTGCTTTCCCTAACAAATATATAGTAGTACATATTCCAACATATTGATAATTTCCTAAATGATTTATAATGTTTTTTTTATTAGAATTCTCAAAGTAGAGTCCTACCACCTAGGCTGAACTTTGTACTTCTTCCTCCTCCATGGTTCCAAATAATCCCCCACCCCATATGCTACAAAAGAGGACAACCTTCGCCCTCATCTTTAGAAGAAGAGGTGATAAGGATGCGTCCAACAAGCATACATACCCAATGCTATGGGGAAGAGAGGTAGAAGCTTTCCTAGACATTTAGGGATCAACTTCTCTTTTAGTAGATTTGAGAGGCCCCTCCTTGATATAATGCTCTTATCACTCTGATCTTTACTGTCTTTCGTAGTATCGAACTCATGTCTCTCATTCCTTCTCTTCTTCCAATACCTGACCTTGGAGGAATGGCCATCAGTTGCGGATGCGGGCGTGAGTTCCTCTCCGAAGGACATCCTTGACATTATCACTGCCATGATTCCCAAGAATATTTTGATTCTTTGGAAAACCGGGCCACACTTTTTCCTGGGTTTAATGACAATTGGGTCTTCAGGTTGTGGAGGCCTTGAGGTGGTGAGAATTGCAGCTGTATCTTTAGTAGATGAAAGAAAATTCATGTAGCAATCTCTAGCTATTACCTTATGGCTTGTTGCCATTGGTTCCATGCTCACAACCTCTAGCTCTATCCATTGGTATGCATCACAAGGGCTTCTCAAAGATGTAAAGCTCTTTAATTCTGGTGCTCTTTTATCCTCCATGCTTGTAAGCCACCATCCTTTACTATGCTGAAACTCATTCAGAATTTCGCTTCTATCTGAGACTACAGATTTCATGTTAGGGCTACATAGGAAGCCCTGAGTAGCTTCCAACCCTTCTCTCTCGAAATCTGTAGGACCAAGCTCATTTATGTGCACAGTTAACAACCTCGAGGGCTCAACCCTTTGAAAGAATGTGGTAGCATGCTGACAATTTGAAATGGAGAACCCATGACTAACTTCAACTTGCTCAAGAATGTCAAAATCTGATTTGTTAGTGGTATCACGATCATTTTCCCCATGAAAAGATTGAGTGGTCACTTTCTGTTCTTTTGCCACAACCATCTTCATGTTATCTGCAACATATCCATTTGTATAGTTTGACAAAATACTAGTCATATGCTCGGAGTCATTGAAGCCTTTAAGTTGGTCATAATGCGCCTCACCTCCTGCAGTTAAGGAAATGAAGTCAGTTGTGGGTATTCAAAATATACTACAGTTGAATTTTAGGGATTGATAATAATGCTTAAATTGAAAGCATGATCGACTTACCTGTGCAATCTACTTTATCACCAGATATGGCTTCTACCAGGAGAGTTCTGTACTGGTATTCCTAAAATAAGAAGATGAAATAATTCATATAAAAACATGGTTATTTTCATTGACATTGTTTTGAAACGTTTGTAGCATTGTGCTTAATATGTACATGTGGTGATTCCTCAACGTAATTTGATATTCACCATGGATGACAGAGTTATAAAGGAATACAATTGAAATTAATCAAGAATAAGGGAAAATGAATGTATTGGTGGTGTTCTCACCTCAGATTGTTTGCTTCTAATTAGTGGCTCCTCCATGATATTGTTTAGTTTACTCCTATCTTCTCTAGCATCTTGAGGAAGCCCATTCTTTCTAGGCTGCACTCTACAACTTGAAATTCGATCAGTGTTGCGAACCTCTATCGACCTTGACTCACCTACCAAGCCATAGGATTTCCCATGAACTGTTGATGCTTCCATTGCATTACAAAGTTCTTGAGATTCAATCTTTGCATGAACATCCTCGCTACCATGACCATGGTAATTAACATTGTGCGATAAGTTATCTTCTAGATTAGGAAAGCTTCCTAACCAAATATCAGTGTAGTCCGATGGTGTTCCAGCAATCGGGTTTACAGCAATGGCATTATTTTCCTGAGAAGCAGAAGCTATGTTCAATATTTCTTCTAGGATGTCCACTTCATTCTTATAATCCTTGTTTTCCTCCTCCACTGTGTAGGTTTCGAAGACCCCAGGTTCAAGGAACATTGTGTTTGATGTACCAACTTGCGGAAACTCTTCGATCTCCATAGGAGGCCATGATAGTCTATTTTGAAGCAGTGCACACTCCATGGCAACTTCAGCCTAAAATGGAAAAAGCATTCTTCATTTCTCAGTGTAGTTACCCAAGGCATTAACCTTATCCATTAAAAAAGAAAGATAATATAGGAAATATTAGTTTATTGTTAACATTACCTTTGATGGTACAAATGAAGAGTTCATGGAGTTTGGGAACTGGCACATTGAACTAACAACCTCATCTGAGAGAAATTGTGTCCATCTCCCATCTCTAGTGGCTCTGTCGACTTGGGCACATTGTATGATTTCAGAGGAAGAATTGTCTGATGGGAACCGATAATCATTATTATCATAATCATCTCCCTTTCCTTCTGAGAGTTCCATGCCAGATGCATAGTCATTTTGCACCCATTGGTTTTGATTTTGGGCACCGCCACCGTATTGTTCTCCAATCTTGGGGATGGTTCCACTCTTCTTGAATATGCGGCATAATGCATAAGCATCCTAACAGGACACAAGACACCATTATCAGTTCTCCTCCTACCTTCAAGTGTAACCACTGTAATTTCTGTTCATGAATTTATAAATTTGAAAGTATATATTATGCTCCTTGTGACAATGGAAGATCCATAGTGATCGAGAGAGAGGGGGACCTAAAAGACCATGACATAATGCAAATGGTGGATCTCACCATCTCACCATCACCATCCAATATTGGATTGGATAGCTATGAATTTTCCATGGTTATAAGGATTTTAGATACCATTCCTTTCACTAATTAATCATGCAATATTTCAATGAAATAATTAGAAACATGCAACATTGATATGTTTGGCATGAAGCCTTCTCAAGCCAAACATATACAAATGGGATTCCTTTTTTCCAATTATTGAAGACCCTAAACATGACATATATATTAGAAAGTACAGTGCTCCAGTGAAAATGAATCGTGAAATCATCCTAGAAAACATGAATAAATGAAATTTTAAAGAGATTAATTGTGGTGTACATACTTGCAATCCTGACACTGCCACACATTCCTTCTCGTCAAGGCGATACTCATGCATGACCCAATTGGTTCGTAAACCATGGGGTGCTCGGCCTCGGTAATAAACAAGCGTCTTTTTCATGCCCACTGAACGCTTCTGTGAGTTAATTTTGCGATCTTTCCCTGTTGCCTTCCAATAACCAGCCTGGGTTGCTCGATTTGTTCTCGATCCATTCGGATACTTGCGATCTCTAGGGCTGAAAAAGTACCACTCGAGATCTTTGCTTGGCAAGAAGGATTTATCTGAAACCATGAAAGGTTGAATAAATATAGCTATGTAAAGTAAATTATAATCAAATTCAAAACGATAAAAAGATATGTTATTGTAAAAAATTAAAAGCTTGTAATTTATACCAAAGTTACAAAAGCTGATATTGGACAATAGCACATCAAGTGCACTTTTCCCATAATCGAACAATATTAACAACACCACCATTATAATGATATTATTATGATTACAATTATCATTATTACTGAAAACCTCATTCATTACTAAAAGCTAAACTTGTACACATAGTACACATAACTAAAGTTCCATTAGTTTCTATTATGATTCATTAGGAGGTTTGTGTGCACTTGAATTTAAAACTAAAAGATTTGGAAATTAGGGTTAAAAGTCTCAAGTTTCAAGGAGTCATCTCATCATTTACATTACCAAATAAAGAAACCAAGTAAATATCTCTGGTAGGCTTCCACCTTCTTAAATTCAGAAAATTTACACTATATGATGGAATCAATATTATAGTCTCAGTGCTTTATCGAGTTTGAATAGTATTGTTAAGAAGGAAGTAGAAGGTCCCTTCCCACTCAAGAACCTTTCATAAAATTGAAAGAAAAGCTCTATAAAGGTTGGGGAGCGAGTGGTGAGGGTTCAACCCTTTAAAGTTGTCCTAAAAGACCTGTGACTAGGGGGGATTGTCTACTATAAGATTGTTTATTTTTAATACAAGAGGATTGCAATTACCCTAGCCTTCAGACATGAAATCCCACCACTAGGGCCATATTATAAACTTAAAGAAAATCTCTGGATTGTGATTGTGACCATCTTTTACCTGGCAAATGGTCTTATTGTATACTTTCTCCTATTCTTTTTTTGAGATAATTACACATAGAAAATTGTACCAAAGTGGGGGCTCAAGATGCTGCTAAATTAGCCCAAAAAAAAAAAAAAAAAGTAAAGTTTGATAGACAAACAATAACACATAACACACCTCACAAAGTGCAGAAGTATGAGAAAAAGAATTAGAGGAAGATGGAAAAGAGAGTGGTAGTGGTGGTGATTGAAAGTATATGTGCGTTAATAGTACCTGGTAAATCCCATGGCTCACATTTATAGAGATCAACCTCAGGGATTATCTCAAGATCAATCTTCCAGCCATGAATCTTTCTCTTGAGATAATAGGCCACCAATTCCTCATCAGTGGGGTGAAACCTAAAACCAGGTGGAAGTGTCACAGGAGCCATCTCCAATCCAACTGATCAAACTTCTCAACAATTCCACTAACACCCTCTACAATGGCCTGTAACTAAGAATATGAATAAGAACTGTTAACTAGAGAGAGAGAGAGAGAGAGGTCTCAAAGTTGATGAAGAATGGAGAAGCTCTCAAAGAAATGATGGGGAAGAAGACTGTGGCCCAATGGGTCTATTATGGGGCGATATTTGTTCTTCCTTTTTTTTTTTTTGTATTCTTTCCATTTTTTTATATCTTTTTTTGAGCGGTAAAGACAAAAAGAGAGGGGGGCTTGCCAACCCTCGACTTTATCCCTTTTTTCGGTGGATTCTCGGTCTCGTTTCATTGAAGCCCCCTCCCCTCCCCTTGTTGTTTTCTTTCATGCGCACACGTTGCAGTGCCCCATTTGTTAACAGTGATATCGCATCACGTGCTAGCCGGCACACTGCGATTAACCCTTTTTTTTATTTAAAAAGAAAGATTAACTCAATAAATATGAAATCCTTTATTGTTATCATCATTAAGTTATTATGAGGATGTGGTTTATATAAGGTCTTGAGTAAGGAGCACCTGCAAACCTTATTAAAAGATATAAATTTTTGTGTCAAAAACTTGAATATTGACCTGAAAATCCATTTCACTTCTAATTGTAAAATTTAAAATTAAAAAGGTAGTGCTGAAAAACCAAATCTACAAGCACTTAAAAAACTTCGAAAATCATCGGTTTAGATAATATATTACGAGATGCACTAGCTTTTGGACTCGAATTTATTTTTGTATTTACACATCACGAGATCAAGATTATCAATTGAAAAGTTTTTTAACATTGGCACAACCTTTTCTGATTAATTTTTAAGGTGGGCCAGTAATGTTCATTTCTACCTAATCAAAACTCCGTGAGTCGGATGCAGACTCAATGTAACCCAAGTTACTTGAACTGCACAGGCCGCTGAGTTTGGAACCAAACCTATAGGAACATGCCGATTACAAATATTTTATTATTATTTTTAAGACTTGATCGAGTCTTTGACCGACTTGACAGAGTTTATCAGACTGGACTTGAGCTTGCGACTTCCGGCCCGAGACCCTAGCGAATCCCTGCCGGAATCTTGGTTGTAAACCACCTCTCCTTACAAGTGTTATGTTTAATCACAGCTAATTATTAGTGTTAGTGTGTTCTAAACCACCGCGAAGTATCAGTGTTAGTGATTATGTGGGTAAGGAATTGCTTTTAAGATGATAGGTTCGGATTTGTACTTGAAAGAAGTAAAGGAGGCTTTAGACGTCAACATAATGAGCTTTTCTTAATTTGGGAACCTTTTTGAAGGCATGCATTCACACTCTTCAATTTCATTTCCTTTGACGAAATTTATCGACAAAAGATAAAAACATAAAATGTTTGATCCACGTGGCAACCTTCAAGAATGGATATGTGCAACAAACTGCCACGTGGCAGATGGGGGGGAAGGGGGGGAGGATTCGGCTTAATCTGGCCCTACAAACCCTACCTCCCACTCTTTTCTTCTTTCCGTCATCTTCAGGTGCTTTTCTCCTTTTTGAGTTTATCCTTTTCTTTCTTACTAATAAATAATAATAATAATAAATTTTATTATTATTATTATTATTATTAGTATCATTATTATTATTATTAAACAAAAATTTTATTTTTAGGAATTAAAAATAGCCTACGGATTTTACATCAGGATCTTTTTATCTCAGTATTTTGTTTTATCCAAAATCTCCCAAATTAAGTATTTGAGTCGGAGCACATAATTTTTTTTTTTTTGAAGTCCATTCCTTTTGCTTGAAGTACTAGACCACCTTCTCTAAAATAATACATGTTCAATACTTTAAGTGCCGAACCAACTTCTCAAATTTTGACATAGAAAATGATTGCGATGTGGCACTTCAAGTACCAGAGGAGGCTATTTTGGATAAAAATTTAAAAACTGACGATCAAAGAAACCCGGCCTAAAAAATGAAAATATTATGATTATTCAGAAAATAAAATTCACTTTAATTACCCCGAATAACAAAAATCCCTTAGTAAGCAAGAAGGCTTGACGAATAATTGAAAACTCTTGCAGCTTTAGAAGTGCATTGCTTGAATCTCTAGGCTTCATTCTTCCACGTGGGATTATACGTTTTCCCGATTGTTATTTATTAATATAATAAGTATTATCGTAGTTATTCGTTACTCTTGGCATTGTGCTTGGAGTGCCAACATTTGATATGGGCTGGCTTCGACTCACAGCAAACGAAATTCTTTTCCTAATTTTTAATACAATTTTAAGTATTGGGATGAATTCATTTTTATTGAAAAAAAAAAAAAGCATTTGGATTTTATGTCTTAATAATTTGCATGAAGAATCTGTGACCGAAAGGTCCCCACTCACCGTCCCCAAAGGGTCCTACAACTGGTATCTCCATGCAAATATGTAATCAACCCCATATTTCAAGTCAAATATGAATTTGCCACCACTAATACCTTAAAAAAAAAACTAACCCTTAATTTACTTGAAAAAACGGATAGAACTTGTTTTTTTCACTGAATTACTTCAAAAAAAAAAAAAAAAGTGAAAATACCTCTTTAGCCAAATATGATTTTTATCACAAAAAAAAGGATTCTCTCTCTCTCTTTATGCATGCGTAAACATAAAAAACACTTGATTGAGCTAATCACCCATTCACTCATCCATTTACCATGGCGTGCATGCGACTATTTATGCATTTATATTTTCAAATCGTAGCAAAAAATATGTAAAACGTTGATTGTGTATTTTTTTTGGTGTAAATTTGGATTATACACTGAGAGACCATTTTTTTTTTTTTTATACAAAGAGGTGACAATCACCTCTAAACACCTAATTTCACATCCAATTGTTCAGAATAATTATAACCCATCTTATAGTACACTTTTTCATCCAATTGTTCAGAATAATTATAACCCATCTTATAGTACACTTTTTCATGTAAATTTTGAACGTGCACTCACGCATATAAACCAAGTATGCAAAAAAAAAAGTGTGCATGTAATGCATGTCATAAGTTAAGAAGCTCAATTAGTAATAAGCCTATATATGGGTAAAGTACAGGTGCATTTGGCGATGCACAATGTTACATTGAGTCCGCCCTCCTAAATTTCATTCTAGACATAGATTTGGGATCCAAAATTTTACGTCTTATCACCTAGATCACTATGATCATGAATATGGAAAAAATTAATTTTTTGAGTCTCATAAACGGTCTATCTCGTACTTTTAAGGACCATTCATTTTAATTCTTCAAATATGGACACCATTTTTTTAACTCAAAATCTATAGATCTTGGCTACACATGTCTCATAAAATTTAAAATATGTTTTGGATCTCAAGTCCCTCAAAAACCAAGTCCAACATATGAGTCGGCTGACTCAACAAATACTTTCATCATAGTCAAACTTTTTTCTAACTAATTGGGATCAGTTACACGCATCCTAGTCTATCATACTGCTCTATTAATGGCTATATCATCAGTGAGACTATAAGTCCCCAAATTCCTCACTACTTCCAAATATTTCCTTTTGGACCAACCCTTTACTTTTTTTGAGTTTTCCACTTGAACTAACTCGTACCTTTTAACAAGAGTTGTATTGGGTCTTCGTCACACATGGCCAAGCCTCCTAAATCTACTCACCAAATACTTTATTGTACATAAACATGGATCTCACTGCAGTAGCTGCTATGAAAAACCTAATCATCTACCCAAAGAAAAAGCTAAACCTCCTCCTCCTTCTTCTTCTTCTCCTTCTTCTTCTTCTCCTTCTCCTTCTCCTTCTTCTTTATTTTTTTGGATATTGATAAGCTTTTTGTATAAAAAAACTGATATTCTATTAGAACCTAGACTTTTTTTAACACCACTAGACTTTTTTTAACACCACTGGGCTATAATGTCCTTACAAAATGTGCAGATAGCCACGTCTAAAGTTTCTCTCTCAAAATTATGTTATAGACCAACCCAAAAATATTTATGTAGGGACCATACAACGACCATGCACTTTGTACTTCACCTCGTAACCTTTATTATAACAGGTTTTATCTCACTCCAAAACCCTGTGATTTAGGTACAAGGGTATGCCTAGCTTTTAAGAGGGTTTCCTTATCTTTCCTCTCTTTTTTCTTTGTCATCTTGAGGAATCATGGCTATTTGAAGAGGAAAAGCTTTTCCACCAGTTCTATGGTTTTCTCGTCTTTCCACACATATTTGTCTCTCATCTTGAGGAATCATGGCCTTGTGAAGAGGAAAAGCTTTTCCACCTGTTCCGAATAAAGGTCACCTCTTGTGTGAGACGTTTTAACCTTAACTCTTCGGCTTCAATTTTAGTTTTGGGAAAAGATTTTGTGCTCTCACTGGAACAGATTGGGTACATGCCCCAGCATGTAAAATGCTAGCTTATGAGGACTCGTTTGACCGCTGAAATTTCCGAATTATTGTTTTTGGAACTTTGTGTCTATTCAGTGACACTTTTACTACCACCCATTTTGAAATATAATGAACAAAAATGATTGTGACCTCCATGTACAAATATATATATTATCTTTGCAAACAATCCTTTAAAATAAACATTGATTTCATATCCTCAAATGGATCCAAATGAACAATGTATTAAAATCTGGTGAACCCCCCAATTTTATTTTTGTATTCATAAACCAGCCAATTTTTTTAAAAAAAATTGTGCAGTTGGTAGATGATCCAAAACTCGATTCTAGGTTTTAAAATACTGGACTTTTTAAGAATGACCTTAAGTTGTTTATTTGACATATAGTCCGATAAAAGTTTTCAAGAGCTCTATTTCATGATTATATTTCTTTTATATTGTTCAAAATGCTTAGCAAGCTTCAAGACTAAGATGCCTTGGTGTTTTTCGCATCAGAGTTGGTGCATAATTTGCTTCCAAGGGAGCATGTTGTATGCAATTCTCATTTAGCATACACATCATACTATTACTAACTTCATTACTCATAATTTTTTTTAGGCAGATACTATAAAAGATTATTATCATCAGCATCAAAGTCTTTTTCCAATTAGTTGGGATCGGCTACATAAATTCTAGTCCGTCATTTGGCTCTATCAAGGTTACTCCCTCAGTGAGGCCATAACTCCCCATATTTTTTCTTATTACTTCCAACCATATCATTTTGGGCCTATCCCTTGCCTTTTTTTAGTGTTCCACTTGAACTAACTCGGTGATGTATTAGGTCAACACCACACATGACTAGCCTACCTAAGTCTATGCTTTATCATCTTATCGCCTATTGCCTATTGGTACCATACCTAAATTTTT